TCTGACGGCACCCATTCACTGCAGAGGATCCACTGCTGAGCAAGTTATGTGATGCTACATTTCTCCAAATAGGTTCTGATGAAGAAACCAGCTCATTTACATGGTAGATGGTCTGAGGGTGAGTACATTTTCAGCAGCTTTTTATTTTTAGGTGAACTATGCCTTTAAATGGTAATGTATAACTGTACAACTGGCAATGTTAAAACTATTTTATATATATTAAACTCTATATTATATATCTGTTATATGTAGAGATTACTCCAAGCTGTGTTCACTGTTAAATAAAGTCGTGAATTCTGTGGAATGGACAATTTATCAGATCAGAGAATATGGAAGGCGAATTAATCACTCAATTAATTTAAACTAATAAACAAGTAGATGCGTAGAACCTTCAGAATAATGGTGTTTCCATCAAATCTGTGGAGCTCTCTGTGGAGTTCTACAGCACAGATGTTATGTGGGTCTTTCTGGGTAGATGGCGTGCTCTATACAATGTTCATTCACACTCTATATAACAGACATTTGAGAAATGGTCAGCACTTTATAAAGCAATGCAGAGAAAAGTCATTCCTGATGGAAACCATAGTTGTTATTAATTAACATAAGAAAACACATTGAGTGCAAGACAGCACATGCTAGTCAGATTGCATCAGCCATTACAGTAGACTGACCCCTGATGGCCAATCCACACTTAAAATTCTAGAACGATCACTATGATGACCCGTTTAAACTAATTGGTTAAAAAAAGCACATGCAAAGAATTACAATTTATGACTTAAATATTTTTTTAAGTTGCATTTATTTATTACTCTTCATACGATACATCACTGTACCACCGCATATATTCTGAAATATATTTTCATTATAAAATAGGGATTCTACAATCAAGTTTCAGATATAATAAAATGCTCTGAAGGATCATAACAGACAATGACGATGCATCTTTAAATGAAGTGCAGGATATTTGGAATTTGATTCAGGGCAACTCAACGAATCAAATTTGACATGTGGGGTTTCCATTTTCTCCAGAAATAAATTTAATCTCCGTGGGCCAGACAGATGGAATGCTTTCTTGTAAAACGCACTGGGAAAATCAAAACAGAGAGATCCTTATAGATTTAGATTTAAAGACGGCAAGATCTCCCTTTAAAAGACCTCGACCTCCAAACCAGCTTCAAACCCACAAATGCTCCTTTTGGTCCAAACAAATATTGTTACATTGTGCCATAGTAGAGGGAATCATTTTTGACATATTGTAACTGCAAAAAAAACCATTCACGAAAGCACAGCAAATACCAAAGGCCACAAATTCGTCTGATTTGCTTCGACGTCAAACCATTAAGATTGTTAAAAAC